ACTCGCTTGTTCCTCTGTCCCAATCAAAAGTTCAAGGCCAAAATCACTCATTTATATCCTTCTCCCACCGCCTTAATTTGATTTAGTAAAACTGAAGTACATTCTAAAGAATAACAAGAACTCGGTTGAAAAACCATGTAAAGAAAGGCCATTTTGAAATCTTGTCATAAAATTACACCTTCAGACTAATCCATAAACATTGAAACTAATTAATCCCAAATTCCATGGCTAAAAGGATCAGCTAAAATAAAAATAGCAAACAAACCTTCCTTAAGGATTGTTGGCTTCCAAATACAATGACAATAACAAACATACAAAGACAAAATTATGGTAAGCCACAATAAAGTTGATTTGTTTAAAATAAGATGAATTTCTTCACATCGACATGAATAAATTTCACGAATTACCAGAATCGCTTTAGTCCGCCAGAATAATCGAAGCTCCAACGGCGTATGTCGTCGAACCCTGGCCGATGCGGTTTTGTCGTGCGTCAACTGGAGGAAAATAAACAATTACACACCAAATAATTGCAGAGGTTTAGCTGAATGATTTGCATATGTATCGATGGATAGTGGAGGTTTTTCCGTGCGTGAAAGGGAGGAAGATAAACAACTAAACACCAAGTAATTTGTAGGCTGGATGATGAATGTTGAAACGTTTAAGGAATCTGAAAGACCAACTTGTAAAGTATTTTTTTGCCATTACAAACTATTAACAATTTTTTTTTGGATAGAGGGTACTTTAGTCTACATCAATTTTTACAGAAATATTCAGCCTTTTAAGGTAGTAGAGATAGAGAGAGATAGAGATAAAATTTCCTACCATTGTTAAAAAAAAAAAATAATAAAAAAAGAATCTGTATAGATGTTGGCATGAAGAATGTTATTACGTACACTGTCATGGTATTATTGATATCTACTTGTTATTTAGATTCATTTTGTTCATAATCTATATTTACAAGCTTAATTTGTAATGTTGCATTGCCAGGGAACTTTAATCTTACATCTCATTCCATTCGAGAAGGTGGTGTAGACTACTATTATTCTTATTATTATTAGCATTTATTACTATTAATATTTAGTAACTTGGTGAACAAGTAAGGTCTAGGCCTTTTGGAGTCTTATTTGAAGACTCTTTTTTCTGATCACTCAGTTGATAATGAATAAGAAATTGATTGGTTTTATTATGAGATTGAATTCTCATTTATCCTTCTCACTCGTACCCTTCTCTACATCAGTTGGATCAGAAGTCAGCACGATCCTCGATGTCGCTGCGGCAACAAGATGTAGCAACCTACAGGCGTGACGCCGCAATCAACGACCGTTTTCAACAATTTGACGATTGGTTTCAGCAGATGGATGATCGGTTTGAGGATCTTTTGACGGATTACGAGGATTTGCGTCTCACTATCAAGTCCACGGTTCGGGATTCGCAGACGTACCGCAATTGGGCTAGGGGGCGTGGCAATCACGGGGGAGCCAGTTGCGGACGTTGAGGACACAGCTATGTCGGGGCACCCAGGCAGTAGTCCACGCCGCCTCTGAACGACAGTGATGATGGCGTGAGTACCTAGTCGGCCGACAATCCCTTTGCTGCTCGTACTGGCCGGCGTGATGACGAAACCCTAGATGAAGCCAGATTCTGCGAGCAATAGTGGCCAGATGGTGGATTCGTCGTGGCCTGGGAGCGTGAAGGGCTACGCGCCGCTAAGGGCTTAGTCGATACCTCAGATTGCGTCCGGCACTGGGCCTAGGTCGGTTTGGTTGACGCCCGAGCGGTGGCACGCAGCTGAGAGCTTCGTCGATGACCATGGTCGCGACACTTGGTGATGGGGCGCATATTTGTCCGGCTTCTAGGGTCGTGCGGCCCGACACAGTGACATCCATGGTCGCCACCAGTGCTGGACAAAGGAGGGTTTTCCAGCGGCCTGGAATCTTGAGGGGCGGAGCACAGCCGCGAGCTTTGGCGACTCCCGGGGTCACGACGCGCGACAGTGGGCTGAGGGTGTTGCTGATTACAGGGGCCCTGTCCGTCACGGCGTTGATTGTTGCGATGCATTCGGGCGGGCCTGTGATCTCCGCCAACGTGGTGAGATGGTCCCAGACAGTAGTTGTGAATCGATGTTTCGCATGGAGATTTCGATATTTGCTGGGACCGACGAAGAACAAGATGACGGGCCGTTGTATGATGGTCCACCTCCAGGGCCAGAGGAAGGAGTGGACTACGGTCCTCTTAGAATTAAAGAGTAGGAAATGGTTCTAGCTGACATGTACACTAAACCTGGAATTCCATGGAAGTATGCCCCAGAGAGACTCAAAAGGTATAAAAGATTAATTTCACTTGGTAATGAATGCAGGACTTGAGTACGAGTTTCTTTTACAGAGTGTGCTAGTGGATGGGACAGAAAAATAGGTCCCCTTTGATTCAATTCCTTACTGCTCAACTTCAGCAATTGGTGTTGCTTTTCCTGTGATTAAGGAAATTGTAACTTGTCTCCAGTCCTTGAATATAGTAGTGGAACCGCTTGGTTACCTAGCCTTTGTCGAGGTTTTGGGTTTAACGGATGATTATGACCAGGTGGCTGCCATTCAGTTGAGCAAACCCTTATTGAGTGCTCCCAAAGAGTTCAGGGTCGGGTTGGGGTTTTTCCATTTTGCTGGATCAGAGGTTGATGCCCATAGTTTTATAAGGCTTTGTTTGAGGGGGAACCATGTTCGAGGCCCACGGCAATTTTGGATGGGAGCATTGCACTAAGTGGGCGACATTCAACCCTCGTGTTGGACAGGGAGAAACGACAGTTAATTACTACCATAGGTTCGACTCCACATACCGGCCACATGTTCTGGTCGAATTCAAAGGCGAAGTCTTCCGAACCAGGGGAGATTGGTGTATACTACTGTTATTCCTATTATTATTATTATTATTAGCATTTATTATTACTAATATTTAGTAACTTGGTAAACAAGTTAGGTCTAAAGGCTTTAAGAGTCTTATTTAAAAACTCCTTAGTTATAAGATGGTTGATATTGAATAAGAAATTAATTGATTTTATCGTATTTTGAGATTGAATTCTCATTTATCCTTCTAACTCGTACGTTTCCCAACATCAAAAGGGCGTGACATTCAAATGGTATTTATTGACAAAGCTAAAAAAAATATTTTGGATTATTAACCGCTCTATTAGCAAACCAAACTTGCATGATATGAAGGAAACATCAAAAGGGCGTGCCATTCAAATGGTATTTATTGACAAAGCTAAAAAAAATATTTTGGATTATTAACCGCTCTATTAGCAAACCAAACTTGCATGATATGAAGTGAACAAAATATATTAATAGTTACAGTATGCCGTCACGCAATGCAAAGCCATTCGTCATCAAAATAATGACAGTTGAAAAAACTATCCCAAGGGAATTTCAACAGTTAGAAAGAAAAGCATCCTACAATTCAATAATGTCGTCCTTGTTTGCTCTTGCCATTTGCAACTGATCAAGCTGATGGTACAACGAAGATATTTGCCTGTGTATTTTCTCTCCTCTATCAGGCAGTCTAGAGATTGCCACCTGGTATTAACAACCATATACACGATCATGGTAATAAAGAGCCACAAATATATAAAAGAATTAGAAGAATGGAAAATCAGGCATAAGCACCTTTTCTTGAGATTCTTTGGAATAAAAAATCACAATATCAGGAGATACAAACCTTGTTAGAAAAGATCTGAGATAAGCGATCAATTCTCTCTCTGATTTCATATTCGATTGGTTCCTTAACATCGGGATTTGCATTCCTATGCACTTTCTTTATGTCCTTAGGATTGAATGCATACTGTGCCCTGCTCCTGCACAGATAAATAACTCTCTTCACTGCACCAAAACTCATTCATCAACAACAACATTAGGAGTCAATGAAATTTCTTAAGTACCCGTCAACATCACGTTCAAATGATGGGCGTCCAAATGCATTCCCCACAAACCTACTCACTCGTGGCCTATATTCAAACTGGGTGAGAATGAGATTCTCTTTCAAATATAACTAACTGGAGGGTACCCTAAAATCTAACATAAGCATTCACCTTTCTGTTTCCTCCTCTATTTCAACTGCTTCTAAATGTGCCGGTTTGGAGAAGAGCAAACTGTGGTGGCTAACTCCAGCTATGTTGAGAGTTTCAAGGAACTCAACGTGTACCCTAAGAGATTCCTCCCTACAAAAAAAAAAGTAACAATTACTATCTTGAAATTGAAAGTAAGAACTCAACAGTGAATGATCCTAACAAATCAAATCTTTGACAAGTGCAGAACAGAGCATAAATAGTGCATCTTCGAAGCCATGAGCACAAACAAAGTTATTCTGTTGAATCAAACAATGAGGTGCATAACAGATAAACTCATTATTACATCGTGTGCTGACGATCATGCTCTTCTAGCAACTGCTGTTGAGTAGGTGATATGTCGAACCCTTGTTTGGGAATGCTGAAAAGATCTTTCAGATCCTGAAAATTTGAACATGGCAATGGCACTGAGTGATATTTCATGCACAACACTAGAACATGCAGCCAAATATGAAGACTAGCTCAGTTTGGACAATTATCTTTAAGAAACGTGAAACGGGGGAATTTAGGTGCAGCTTACCCGGAACCAACCCATTTTTACCATTTCGTGCATACACAATACTTAAGAACACTGAACATTGATCACTGCATTGATCAAATACACAACTATATTCCTTTTCTTGAAGTAATCGATCAGTTCCATACACAATTTGTGCATACCTTAAGATTCATACATTAAAGCACACAGATTCTGTTTAAGAAAGCTGCATAAACATTCAGTTAATGGGAAACACCTGTTGACTGAAATAACGGATCTGTTCTTTATGTTCGGTTGCACTTCTGAACAATCCTCCTTTGAATACCTGCATCACAGATTTAAAGTATAATACAAAAGGACTCAAACTTAAAAGACTAAATTGAAACATGATAAAATAAAATTATTTCAATGATATTATATCCAGACTCTAAGTAGGACTGTCATTAGGCCATAAATGTATTAAATGAATAAAGGGCGAAAGTGACTAATAGCAGTTTAACGCCAATTGACAGCAAGTGAGATAAGCACATTTGGCTTTTGTGGATGATACATCTCCTTCACGAAATCTCCAGAAGAATCTTCAGCAGAAAATAACTAAAATGCAGTAGGGCTATTAATTTACAAGAACTGAGAAAGATAAACAAAAAAGAAGGAAAAACACTACTGACCTGTTTTCTGTAAATTTTCTCTTCCACAGTGCCACATGTCATTAGTCTGTACACGATGACATCGTTCTTCTGCCCAATCCTGTATGCACGATCTACGCTCTGATTGTCAGTGCTGCATAAATGGTAAAACTTATCAACTCAGTAATAGTTTCCATAAATGATCTGACAGAAGCAACAAAATAACTTATCGTTTGTCAAAATCAAATAGTTAAGCTCAACATAAACACCCTGAAAACAAAGAAATATATTTTCTCAATAATGTGCAATGGCAATTAATGTGGTACATGTTTAATTAAGATATTAATTATAGATTCTCACAACAGCAAATCGTAATCTTATAAATAGAAACCTTGGATTCCATGCTGGATCAACCACAATGACACGATCTGCATTAGTGAGTGTAAGGCCTAATCCGCCAACTTGGGATGTCAAGAGGAAGATTGGGGCTCCACGACCCTCTTGGAAATCCTTCAGAATAAAGAAAATAGATAAAGGAAATAATCTCTTCCTTTGAAGATCTTCCATTTATATGCATTAAACAGAAGCAAACCTTTACAAGTTTAGCTCTATCAGCGAATTTTGTGGTACCATCTATCCGCATATATTTGTAACGGTTGGATGTCAATGTTTCCTGAACAGAATAATATAGCTAGAAAATAGTGACTTCCACCAAATCAAGACAAGAAGTTAGATGCATCCGGTTGTAGCATCTATACCGATGCTTACAATTGGATATATATTCTATCTCATTAAGTCATCCGCCAATCAAAAGGTTCACTATTCATCCATTTAATTTTTTTAACTGCATTCCACTCACATATTTCAATAGAATTTTTAAATTAAAAATCAATCTTTACAACACATTTATCTACAAAATCTGCTACTCACCCGCTCAAATATTTAGACTACCAGTCATTTTACTGTTTCTCTATACATAACAATTAACTATTCCTCATTATTTCATATCACCTAACATTAAATAATCATTAATTACCCTGCTACATTTCATTCGTTAATGGAAAATTCACTCAAATGAAAGTATATCCAATCCTAACCACTATTTACAAGGAAGGGCGTGTAGTCGAAATTCTTAATCTAACTGCCTATGTGCCTAAAATTTCTCCTAAAGGTTACAGTAACTCAATCATTTCCTACTATCAGTATCACTAATTTCTCTGCCTCATTTTGTGAGACCACTCTCACTGTAAGTTTCGGAGTTATCTAAAATATAAAATTTATGGCTACTCTCTGCCCCAGCAGAAATTTGTGACAAAATCTTGTCCATCACTTAGGGCCACAAGGTACAACATTTACCACATTTGAAAGCATTATATTGAATGATAGTCTAAATTTAAAAGAATGGGAGCTACGGATGCGCTCTCCTTATAAAGCATAAACAAGCAACGAGACTGACCTGGATTAAATTAAGCATCTTCCGTGTTTGTGAAAAGATAAGCACATTATGTCCCTTTGGAACTAAATCAGCCTGTAACAAAGCATTACACGTCAATTATTATGCAGAATGCATTGCCACATAATGCTTTGCTTGAGGACATACCAGCAATGATAATATAAATGATATTTTGCATGACATATCATTATTGTCGACAACATCAAATCTCTCAGCAACATCTGCTATGTGCATTGCCAACTTTTCAGCGACATGATGATCTTCTTGGTTCACCATTGAATCCATTCCTTCCAGAACATCTTCAGCAGCTCTCTTTGTCAACAGAAGTGGATGGTCACATATCTTTTTTAATATCTGGTTCAACAGAAACATTATCCTTCTGAAAATTTGGGATTTGCTTATATATAGTACAGAAAGCTTAAAAAATCATTTTACAGAACTTCATTGTTGTAGGGAACTTGTTAGTTTTTGGATCTCCCTATACATAATTCCTTTTGTTGTAACTTGTAAATAAGTGATAGCACTTTGATTATGATTTCAGGAGAGAGAAATATCACCATTTATTATCACTTAGATACTGAAACCTGCACAAATTCATGTGTAGCAGCAAGTCGATAAAACATATTGCCTGGACCATAGTTAAACAATTTTTTTCCAAAATCAAGAATGACCCCCTTGATAGCTTCATGAACAATTGATCATAACAAAAGCAAAGCTTTTTTTTTTTCAGTTGATCAGGATAAATGATGTGTCATCTTCATATCAAATCTATCATGTGCCAAGGTCAAGGAGTTGAGGTATGTTCTGAAGCAAAGATGTGCACAGGCTACATATGAATATTGCAAGGACCAGTTATGTATAACAAAGATCAGTTTAGTAGTTATAAATCCTTGCTTGTCATTTGCTCTCCTGGCTGCAAAAGCATCTAAATTAAGTATGTATCCACAGTGAAAACAGATCAAAGGAAAACTGTGGAAACAAATGCAGATTCCTTATGGGTTCGAACTTCCATGCTTTAACTCTTCACAATTCAATTATTAAAGCTAAATTATAAAACCCAAGGAAGTTTAAAATAGATAACTAGTATACTTCACTAGATTGAGAGAAGATGCCAGAGTTAGCAAACAAAAAACATTGGTTAGATAAACCAAACTTTGCTGGACAAAGAACATAGTAAATAGATAATAAAAAACCACAGCTTAATTTTTTATATGTCAATGAAGCATCCCTAGGAGGTGGAATGAAAAGAACAACTACGTAAAAATCACATAAAGCAGATAATTTTTCACATATTACCGTAAGTGCAGCAAGAGGGGAACCATCACAAGCTGAGATGACAATCTCGCTCTTTAAGAAAGCTTCATAGATTTGACGCTGGATTCATCAAGATTACAAACATTACTTCAGCAAATGTTATCAAAACTAAAAATGACAATTTTCATCAGGAACAATATGAAATAGAATGTGTTGACCATGTACCTGACACTGAGTTAACGGTAGCCATATAATAATCTCATTCTTCTTGGAAAGCGTGCTATCATCACGAAATACTTCACTTTTCAATCGTCTTAAAAAATATGGTTGAATACAGTCTCTCAGGTCCTACAAATTGTAGAAGTTTATAAGATGAGCTTATGGATTTTCTTTGACATGCCAATTTGTAAAATCACGAAAAAACATTTAACATGTTGCGGATTCTACTTATCATGTGCAGAGGAATAGTATTAACGCAAAGAAAGATTGACGAAAAAGCTTTCACATATTTAATCCATAAGTGAACAAATTGAATAATTACTACATTTAATTAACCAATGTGAAGAAAAGAAAAGGTCAAGCAATCACCTTGGCAACCGATGAACCAATACGCTTTTCCCTATCAGATGCATTTTTCTCATTTCCTCGGCTGATGAAGTGCTCGTATTTTTCCTTAAACCTGAGAGAATGGGTAATAAGAGGAAAGAATCAGTTTATGCAACAGTAACTTAACAAAGCTTTATTCATGAGCATGGTACGATCATTACTCTTTCTTGTCACCAAGGAGCTCAGGACAGCAGAAATTAAACAAAGCCCAAAGTTCCTAGAACGTAACAAAGAGAGACACAGAAAGTGAGTCAGTAATTTTATATAGACTTCTCCTGAGCAAGGAAAAAAGACATTAGGAACAGTCATCCTAATAAAGAGAAGCTCAAAAGAAACAACAAAAGTACCTTGAGATTGTTCTGGAGTGGGGTGCCACTGATAATAATGCGATGCCCACAAGGTATTTGAAGCAAACTTTTCGCCCTTTGTGTGCTTGGATTTTTAATCAGATGCCCCTAACATTTAAATATCAATAATTATAGAAAACCTTTATAATTTTTAAAATCATGCAACTTCATGAGTTCAAAGTAAGAGAGTATTGCACAGGATTAGTAAAAAAAATGTATCACTGCATGACAAGAATAAATAGTAAAGAAGATCAATTTACTTCATCAAGGATCATATAATCCCATGTCATTTCATCTTCTTCTCCGTCACTGTAACGGTAATCCCCACATAAGGATTTCGTATTATTCCGCACAATATCATACGTTGTCAGAAGAACACCTTTATCCTACAGTGGAGAATACAGAGAAAAAAAAAACAGTCTGCGAAGGATAGGAAACCATTTTTTACACACGCACACACAGAGAATAATATATAATGTGTGTGTGTGTGTGTGTGTTTGTGTTTGTGTAATGTTCAATTGCAATGTTCTAAATTTTGTTGCTCAAACTAATATTCTGCTGAATATTTAATTGAGGAAAAAATCAAAGTGCTATGCAATGACCTTAGAATCACATGAGCATGTCTGAAAAAGGAACAGCAGTTGACGTGAAAATAGTAGGTAATAAACACACACTGCCAAGGAATCGTGACAGTTTAATTTTCAGCCAATCAGTCAAAACCGATTGTTTTTCTGGACATTAGATGCATGAGAAGAAAAACAACTGCAGTACAGGCTTTCTTGTCTGTAACTATTTTGTTCAAAATACAGAGGAAAGTCAATAGACTGTTCAAAGACTAGAACTTTGCTTTTGTCAGCTTAGTAGACTGGCAAAGAGTTGCAGTTTCTTGCTTTTATATTCTATAGAAAGCATCAACAAACAAAAGTGAAAAAAAAAAACCTGAAGTACATATTGGAGCTCATAATGGCGAGTTTTTGTACAAGTTGAGAAGTACCTACAGAAAATAAAATGGTGCAAACTCTGATAAGCATTACATGATAGGACTAACAACAATTAAGGAAAAATTATGAGAATGGCATACTCTCTCGTCTTTTCAGAGAGCCCAACTGTTGATAGTTCATTTATCCAATGAGTTAATAGTGTTTTTGGAGCAACAACCAAAACCCTCCGAACCAAATTTGAGTGGAATAATCCAGCTATAAAGCTACACATCTGAAATGGAACCACACTAAGGTAAATTAATAAGCAAGGGGCCTCAACTGAAGCCATAGTAGTACATTTATAAATGGAATTTTTTTTTACCTGCATGGTCTTTCCCAGACCCATATCATCGCCCAAAATACCACCCTTACCCTTACAATGAAGAGACCAGAGCCACTTAAGTCCTTCACGCTGATGGGGATACAGCATTTTTGCTATTTTACCAGGTAGCTTATATGTACCCTTCAGGCCACTCAAAGTGAATTCTTCAACATCATCATTCAATGTTGTGATATCATCAGATTCATCATCAGACACTTCGATAAAATTCTCTTCTGCCCTACCCACTTGTTTAACAGAGTATCTTTCACTCAGTGCAGCATACTTTTCCTCCTCTCTCCTGTAGTTGTAAGTTCGCTCCTTAGTAGCACCTAACCTTAGAGGCACCTTCATATGATCAGCATTACTATGTCCTTCACGCTTATGCATGATTCTATTTGTCTTACCAACATAGCCATTCTCCTTCGTGTCAGCAAAATAAGTTTTTTCCGAGCAGTCGTTGGGAATAACAGCTTCAACTTTTGACCCAATTTCCTCCACTGGGGAATCAGAGAAAACATTCGAAGAAGTGGCAGTCTGATATTCAGGGTCTCCTTCTTTCACAGTCACATCATATAACTTGCTTCTAAATGAGTCCTCGAAATCCTCCGTCAAATCAACTTTCTTAGGAACCCTTTTCTTCTCAATGGAAAGAAACTCAAGCCTTGAACTTAAATCATTCAAGATATCTCTTATTTCATTTCCATTATTGTCATGTGGTTTATTCACCTGAAGAGGGGAATCAAAATCCGAAATACCATCATGGTTTGGCCTTTCAGTGCTTACAAGACTCTTAACTGCCACATTATCACTTTTGTTTCTCTCTGAAATTTTGCAGAGGCGACGTCTTCCTTCAATTCTCACTTTTGTTTGCTTTTCTTCCCCTAATATGTTGTAGGAAATGAAATAAATCACATCTCTCATGATGTAATAGATATACTAGAGAACAAGGAGAGCCATATGTACCAGGAAAACTGGAATCAAAATCAGCATTACAAGATATTGAGGATTTTGTCTTGGCAGCATCAACTTCTTCTGCAGGCACTTCACTACTCTGTAGCTCCTCTGGCTCGAGTTCCACACCGACTGCTCAATTCAGTGAAATATTAAAACATAATAATAATAAAAAAATCATAATTTTAACCATAAACACTAGAGGGAAAGGAGCTAAAAAAATAAATGTGTCGGCTCAAATGATCAGAAATTCAATTTATTCACCTGGAAGGTGGGCATTATATTTGCCCGGGTCAGAAATAATCGGATTAGCTTCGGAAGAATAGCCATCTTCTTCAGTAGTCTTGCTACTTTTATGTACCCCAGAAGCTTTCAAGCAAAATTTGTAGCAAGAACCATAAATATATTTATGTATATTAAACAAATATAAATTAACACAGCATGAATCAGGTGCCAGAAAAAGCAAAACAATGTAAATGCTGACAGGGTGTTTATAGACAGATAAGCAAACACTTCCAAATGTGTACTGGGAACTGGAGTTTGACTAAAAATTTGCTTCCTTTAGAAGTTCATATAAAGGAGCAAATGTATCATGCCGTATTTAATTTTTGAAGGGAACGAAGGTACATATGCTATAATAGGGGGAACTAAAGCCAATAGGAAGGTCAGAATGAGTACCAAGCATGGAAGACGGCGAATCAAAATCCGCGATCCCAGAAAAGAGCCTAGGAGACGAACCCTTATGCTTCCACACAGGTTCTTCAAGGTCCACTTTTTTTTGTAGTTTTAATACAAAAGAAGAAGTCAGATCCCCTCACACAAAATAAAACCATATAATCAAATAACAGAATACACAAAACAAAAGAAAGCGAATATGAAATTAACAATACCTTGACGAGGAAGCGGGGGAGAATCGAAATCAAATCGAGGAACATCGTCAAATGCTATTTCAGGATTCACACTCGATCCAGTATCATCTTGCCCTACGGTTGACAAAAGTGGAACCCATAAATGAATAAGATAGAATCAAATCGGCATAAATTACATGAAGCCGTGAGTGAGATTTACCTGCATCAATTTTGTACCTAGTCTGGGAAGCGGATAGGTCACCAAGAAAGCGATAGTGGCGTTGATTGAGACTCAATGGCTGCTTTTGCCTCCCTTCCGCCATTGCTGATCTCTTGGAGGAATGCGATAATAAAGAAGGTTTCTCTTGCTTTGGTCTTCAATTCCCGCTTCCAAGTGGTGATTTGAATTTTGTAATTTGGGTAGAAACTAGAAACCCCCAGAGGATGTTTGGATACAAAATTTATCCAAAAAATCCAAACATTTTTAACTCAACCACTTTTTTTAACTTAACTTTAACTCAACCCAACTATCATTAATATTATTAATATAATTAAATAATATCAACCAATCATTCTTACACATCACATCAACCTTAATTCACTATTCATCCACTCACATGATTTTAACTAACTATCACTTCAAATCATCTCTCTCATACTTTTACATCAAATCAACTTTAATTATTTTATTTAAAATATTATTTTAATATACCCACTAATAACTAACCATACCATCTTTTTCAAAATTAACCAAACCAAATCAAAAAATCCAAACAAATCCAAAATTTCTTATATCCAAGCATCCTCCCAGTATTTTGTGGGGTGGAGTGCGAAACAGCGAGAGGATATGTTAAGGAAATTTTAGGGGTGATTGGATATGGTTTGAACAGTAAAAAAAACCAATCAAAACTCAAATTTAACTCAACTTTAACCCAACCCCACTATCTCTCATATTATCAATATAATTAAATAATATCAACCAATCATTCTTACACATCACATCAACTTTAATTCACTATTTATCCACTCACATAATTTTAACTAACCATCACTTCCAATTATTTTTCTCCTATTTTACATCAAATCAACTTTAATTATTTTATTTAAATAATATTTTAACATATCCACTAACAACTAACCATACCACATTTTTTCAAAATTAACAATAATTAAAAAAACGAACCAAATAAAAACTAGTTGAATCCATAAACAATCACCCTCTTAGGGCTCGCTGGTTTACAAAATAATTCGTACAAAAAGAGTTATTTTGGTTAACTAGAGTTAATTTTGAAAAAAGTGGTATGGTTAATTGTTAGTGTGATTTTAAAAATGTATTAAAATATTATTTAAAATAAAATGATTAAAATTGATTTGATGTAAAAGTATGAAATAAATGATTGAAAATGATTGAGAATGATAGGTAATTAAAATTATGTGAGTGGATGAATAGTGAATCTATATATATTGAAAAAGAAAGGTCAATAAATCATTTGTGGAAACTTTTAAAAACTGGTCAACAACACCATTGACTTTCCATTTGTGGAAACCAATTAAAAAAATCCAAAAATTATTTATTTTTTGATTTATTTTATTTTAAATCATTCCAAAACATAATCAAGCAAAAAACAGAATACTGGAATCATCCCAGTATAAAAAATTTGGCGGGATTTTTTTTTTCAACTATTTAGGAAACCACCGAATTTTCTCAACTATGAAATCATAGGAATCCCAATTTTTTAGGTAACAAATTTAGAGATTTTTTTGGATATATTCCAACTTATCTTAAACATCTATATAATTATATTACTGATAAAACTCTTCATTATCTTTTAAAAAAAATCACGTTTTTCCTTTTCCTTTTCTCCCAGCGGCTGCCATTGATGGCGTCCACGGCAAGAAGCTGCTCAGTTTTCTGACGGCAGCATGCGACAGAAAGGTTACTACAACAACGTCAAGTTCCATCGAATCATAAAGGATTTTATAGTGCAAGGAGGTGATCCAACCGGAACTGCGAGAGGCGGCGAATCCATCTATGCTAAGCACTTTGAAGATGAGATAAGTAGAGAGTTGAAGCACACTGGAGCTGGTATCATATCCATGGCAAATGCCGGTCCGAATACAAACGGGAGCCAGTTCTTTATAACTCTGGCACCTGCACCCTCTCTAGATGGTGAGCATTCTTTAGAGAACTTACATTAATGCATCTAGAAACTTCATTACATTGTAAGACTGCGAGAGCGAATCGAACTTTTCAATATATGATGTGTTTGTTACACTTCGATATAGATATTACGTATATATAATATGTAAATGCCTCTATTTTAGAGAGGTCCTTCAGTCCTGTGAGTTTTGAAAGTCAGGATTTTTAATTCAAAATAAAATTATTAAATTGGTTGATTTGCAATTTGTTTGGATTGTGATAATATGTGCTCCAGTGGAACATTATTTTATCAGCAACAACTTGTATTTGGTGTGAAGTTAGGTTCTCTTGTAACCTTGGAAAGGTTATGCGAGGAGCAGTGTTGGTGCATTTGAGTGTATCATGTGGTTAAAACCTTTTTAACATGCTATTGTAAACCATGTGCTGTTTCTGGTTATGTTCAAACTGATAACACTGACCGTCCTATTCACGATGTGAAGATCTATTAAGGAGTAGCTAATGAATAGTTTCTGAAGCCTTTGCTCAAGTGAGTCTTATCACTGATTTTGGAAAATTCTGTTAAGATGAAGCATTCATGGCAACACACTATTGTAGGATCTGTCTTTTATGTTTCGACTGTTGTGCTGCCATTCGTATGTTACGATACTTTTGCCGATGGAAAAGAGATGACAAATGGACACTATTGCCGATTTTTTTCGCTTTATATACTTTGTGTGAAGAAATCTTATCCGTCTATTTCTGTTGACTTATCGTGATCGTTTGATTGATTTTTATGAAGCTTTGGTCTGAGATTAATCCCTAAGCCCACATATAATGATTAATAGGCTCATAACTATTAATTATATGGACCAGATTTTGGCCCAGTTAAATCAATTTTGATAAAATATGTCAAACCCACATTTATTTGATTCATTAATTTTATATTAATCCGACACATTATTATTATTTATTTATACGTCATAATTTATATAGATTATTATTATAGATCTATATCTATATCTATAGTAATATAAAGAGGTTGTTGGAAAAATACAAAAATAGTAATTTTGACTTAATAAATAATCCTTTCACTTACTAATATAAGTAATACTTACAAACCCACATGTCAAAATGGTTTACAATTTTTTTTTTAAATCTTTTATCCGATTAGGGGTATAAATATGGTCGAATTTTGTTAACAAACGTGATCGGATTTTGCTAATAAATCTTTTACATGGTTGAATTTTGGTAACAAATTCGATATTTATTTACACTAATTATTTGGCCGAATATTTGGTAAATGGTCTGATATTTTCGAGCATATCTTTTTTTAGTAACATTCTGTACAATATGATCGGATTTTGTGAGATGTTTTTGGGTAAATCTTTTTAGCCGAAAAGAAGTTCGAATATGATCAGATTGTGTTAACAAATATGTCAGCCGATCGGATTTTGGTAACAAATTTTAGATTTTGGTAACAAATTTTAGATTCGAATCCATCTATGCTAAGCACTTTGAAGATGAGATAAGTAGAGAGTTGAAGCACACTGGAGCTGGTATCATATCCATGGCAAATGCCGGTCCGAATACAAACGGGAGCCAGTTCTTTATAACTCTGGCACCTGCACCCTCTCTAGATGGTGAGCATTCTTTAGAGAACTTACATTAATGCATCTAGAAACTTCATTACATTGTAAGACTGCGAGAGCGAATCGAACTTTTCAATATATGATGTGTTTGTTACACTTCGATATAGATATTACGTATATATAATATGTAAATGCCTCTATTTTAGAGAGGTCCTTCAGTCCTGTGAGTTTTGAAAGTCAGGATTTTCATTTCAAAATAAAATTATTAAATTGGTTGATTTGCAGTTTGTTTGGATTGTGATAATATGTGCTCCAGTGGAACATTATTTTATCAGCAACAACTTGTATTTGGTGTGAAGTTAGGTTCTCTTGTAACCTTGGAAAGGTTATGCGAGGAGCAGTGTTGGTGCATTTGAGTGTATCATGTGGTTAAAACCTTTTTAACATGCTATTGTAAACCATGTGCTGTTTCTGGTTATGTTCAAACTGATAACACTGACCGTCCTATTCACGATGTGAAGATCTATTAAGGAGTAGCTAATGAATAGCTTCTGAAGCCTTTGCTCAAGTGAGTCTTATCACTGATTTTGGAAAATTCTGTTAAGATGAAGCATTCATGGCAACACACTATTGTAGGATCTGTCTTTTATGTTTCGACTGTTGTGCTGCCATTCGTATGTTACGATACTTTTGCCGATGGAAAAGAGATGACAAATGGACACTATTGCCGATTTTTTTCGCTTTATATACTCTGTGTGAAGAAATCTCATCCGTCTATTTCTGTTGACTTATCGTGATCGTTTGATTGATTTTTATGAAGCTTTGGTCTGAGATTAATCCCTAAGCCCACATATAATGATTAATAGGCTCATAACTATTAATTATATGGACCAGATTTTGGCCCAGTTAAATCAATTTTGATAAAATATGTCAAACCCACATTTATTTGATTCATTAATTTTATATTAATCCGACACATTATTATTATTTATTTATACGTCATAATTTATATAGATTATTATTATAGATCTATATCTATATCTATAGTAATATAAAGAGGTTGTTGGAAAAATACAAAAATAGTAATTTTGACTTAATAAATAATCCTTTCACTTACTAATATAAGTAATACTTACAAACCCACATGTCAAAATGGTTTACAATTTTTTTTTTTAAATCTTTTATCCGATTAGGGGTTTAAATATGATCGAATTTTGTTAACAAACGTGATCGGATTTTGCTAATAAATCTTTTACACGGTTGAATTTTGGTAACAAATTCGATATTTATTTACACTAATTGTTTGGCCGAATATTTGGTAAATGGTCTGATATTTTCGAGCATATCTTTTTTTAGTAACATTCTGTACAATATGATCGGATTTTGTGAAATTTTTTTGGGTAAATCTTTTTAGCTGAAAAGAAGTTCGAATATGATCGGATTGTGTTAACAAATATGTCAGCCGATCGGATTTTGGTAAAACATTTTAGATTTATTTACACAAAATATTTTGGCCGAAAAATTAGTAAATGGTTTGATTTTTTTTGAGCATTTTTTTTTTTGGGTAATATTCTACACAATATGATCAGATTTTATGGGATTTTGATTGATAAATCTTTTTAGCCGAAAATAGGTTCGGATATGATCACATTGTGTTAAAAAATATGATCGGATTTTGTTAACAAGTCTTTTAGTCAATCGAATTTTGGTAACAAATTTCATATTTATTTACACAGAATATCCGTTCGAAATTTGGGCATATGGTCTGATATTTTTGAGCATTTTTTTTTTTAATTTTAATTAGAATTTGCACAATATTATCCTATTTTTTGGGTTGTTTATTCGTAACAAATTTTTTTAAAAAAAATCAAATCAATCTAAAAATTCTTACATTATTTGATGTTAACAAACTCCCTTAATTTTGGTAAAAATGATGTCACGTTGATATGGCAACATATCCTTCAAATTAATCGTCCATCCCTCACACATGTAACACGTTTCCTTTTTTTTTTTTAGTTCTAAACAACGCCGGATAAACATAATAATATGGCACATACATAATGTCTATATAAACATCACCAATGTTGCAAAAAAAATAAATAAATAAATAAATAAATAGACAAGAAACAATACATCCCACAAAACAAACTTTTTCAATAGTTTTTCCATCACCATTCTAAACGACTTTGGATAATGGATTAATCAAGGAGGATAACAATATCTGAAAATTAATCGACGATATTGAAGAAGGTGGCATTTATATCTTGACAAACTACCAAGGGGAAAGCAACATTAGCATTTATAAAACGATGATATGTCTTTGGAGGATCATTATCAATGGTCAAACTCAGATTCACAAGTGGAATGGTGAATTTCCTATGTATCGTTTTGACTTTAAGAACTTCATAACTTCAATGGATATTGGTAATACTGATATAGCCAAAGAATCAAATTATGAACGTTGTATATAAAGAAGTGTTCAATTATATAGATTTTATTTTCATTATATTTATTAATTATTAATGGCATGATCTTTCTTTTAGTATATAATTTGAATTTTAACTGAAAATTACTTTTTAAAAGGGACGAAAATAATAAAACCCCCGTGCATCGCACGGGTACTGTACTAGTTAAAGTTGATGTGATGTGTAAGAATGATATATAATATTAAAGATAGTGGAGTTGAGTTAAAGTTGAGTTATATTTTGAGTATGAATTAAAAGTGAGTGAAATAATTGATAAACAAGCATGCCCTTATTATATATTCTAGGATAAATTGCAATTTTGGTATCCAAACTAAAGGTCATTTCGGAATCAGTACCCGTTTTGAAAATTGCACGGCATCCGTACCCGAAGTTTTTATTCTGGTAGCAGCGTTACTACCCGACCGTCAAATGTCCGTCAAAAGGCCGTTAGTTGGTAACGGGAGTGGTTAAATGGAGGGAAATGAGATTGTTTTTGGCGCATGTTCTATCCGATATATATATGCCATATGTGTACATATTTTTTCATAAAAAAAAAAAANCAAAAATTTAAAAAAAAAAATCGAAAAATAAAATCCAAAAAATTCAAAAAAAAATAAAATCGAAAAAAATGAGAAGACATGGTTTCTTTTCTAGTTCAAGCAGTAGTTCTTGGACTAATAATTTTCCAGTCCAAAAATGTCGGTGTAGTGAAGAAGAGCTTCCATTGAAGACATCTTGGAGAAAAAACAATCCCGGAAGAAGATATTGGGCATGCCCAAATTATGGGGTAATATTTTAATTATTATATTTATAACTAAATTTATGATTGTGTTTTTCTCTCTTGCGGACAAGAGAATTTTGTGGATTTTACAAGTGGCTAGATCCGGAAATGTGTGCTCGTTCCAAACAAATAATACACAGACTGCTTTGAAAATTAAACAACCTTGAGGATGAGCTCAATGATTTCATGATAAGAGAAAGGAAACTGGAAGATGAATTGAGGAAAGCCAATAGCAAGAGGATTACTATGGAAAAACAACTAGATGCATTGAAAATGAAAAGAAAAATTTCATTGTAAAACTAAGAGTCTTTTTTCTAGTTGTAGTAGTTGTGTTCTACGTACTAAATAGCAAAAATTAGTATATGAAACATATGTAATCATCATTTTCCATGTCACTGAAATCAGCATTTTTCATTCAATTGATCTAGTATCTTAAATGCAAATGAATAACAATCCACAGTCTTGTTCACCAAAATCACCAAAACAACATCATAACCATTGTTCAAACCACAATCCTCATAAATCCATTTTCCAAATAAATCACCTAAAGAACACAATGCACAACATTGTTCAGACCACAATCACCAAAAGAACACAATACACAACCTGTTCAAACCACAATCACCAAAAGAACACAATCCACAAGCCTTGTTCATCATAAACACACTCAACAGTCAAACCATAATCCCAAAATCACCAAAAAACTCATTATCCCATTACAACACAATCAAACCAAAATAAATCCAAAGTCAATCAATACAATCAAACCAACCCAAATCCACATTCATTTGTTTGCAGCCTTGTCCTTACCAGGAGCTGTCCTATTCTTTGTCCTCAAGGCAGCTCTGATGTTGGACACTGTTATGTAATTCACACTTCCTTTCACCACAATTGGACAACTGACTCCATCAGATTGTGTAACCTGCATTTGTATAAACAAATAGGAACAAATAATGACACTGTTAAAAAACAAATATAATGACACTGTTAAGGAACAAATAACTCAAATTCAAATCCAACTGAACTAAATTTCACAGTTCTATAAACAAATAGGAACAAAATATAATGATAATGACACAATAACTTACATTGACATTCTGTCCTTGATTCTTAGACCCATTTCCATCCAACTCAGCTCTTTTCCTCTTCCTAGTTGTTCTGCTCTTTCCTTGAGACTATAAAACATAGACAGAGTAAGTATATAAATATATAACAAGTTTAAATCAAAACAAAGAGTATTAGACATAGTAAATGAGGTACAATCAAACCAAAAAATGATAAATTACCCTATTTTTGCTAGCTTCAGCAGCATTGTTGTTGTTTGGAGGTGTTGGTACAAGGGACTGACTTGAGAAAACATGGTCACTAGCTGGTGGAGGCTGAGATTCACTCAGTGGGACCTCTTCTTGTTCTTCATTTTGGTCAGCCTTCTTATGCTTTTTCAATCTCATGGGATTATGAGGCAATGCACTTGGTGGCTCAGTTGGATGTCTCCTCCTTACCTTCTTAGGCCTTCCAGCTCTCTTCACAATTGCAAGAGGGATAGGTTGTGGATGATCAACCTTAGGCCACAAATCAGGATCATTTATCCCTAATATTGGCAGTTCATATGCCTTTCTATATGTTTCAACAGAGTACAACTGGTCCACCCCGGTTCTTCTTTTCTACACCAAATGGCAGAAATAGCATGCTTACATGGGAGTCCAGTCAATTCCCACTTCCTACAAGAACAAGTTCTTCCAAGAACATCAACAGTATGCTGTTCAAATGGCCCCATGACTTGAAAATTCCACTCATCAGACCCATAGGGATGAGTTCTCCTGCCTTCTTCATGTTGCCATCCAAAATCATTTTTATCCTAGGACAGATAACACCATCCCATTTGGTAACACAAAACACTCCGACCGGCTTGAAATCGGTCCGACTTCCTCTTCCTCGCTGGTAGAACGCTACGCACCTGCACAGAACTCTCACACCGGAGGGGTTTTCCGGTGAAGAGCCTATGATGCTTAAGTCAGTATATGTTTGTTCAATTTTCCAAAGTAAAGAATGGATAAATCGTAAGTCACAAGAAAAGACCCACTCCTATATATATAGGAGTGAGATACCTGCCCTAGGAGCTGCCCGGATTTTGGTGAGCTGTCCTGCCCGCACTCCCCGTCCGTACACACACAGTGTGCCTGTGTCAGAGATGTCAGAGGTGGTTATCGCCACTATCGCTGTAATATCCCATTCAGTAATTAATAAAAGTATTTATTTTAGTTCTAAGTTTGAACTAATTACTTTTATTAATAATGCTCGTTCCTAGTTTCGAGCCCAGTTATTAAGTTATTCAGTTAAAAGTTCGACTTTAAGTTGAAAGTATTATCGGTTAAATTTTATTTAGTAATCGAGCCAGTTCAGTAATTAATTAATTCCGGTCTGTTTATTTTTATAAATGGATTTATAAGATGGGATTAATTATAATAAGATTACGAATAATAAAAACTGAGTATATTTTGATTACTCGTTCAAGATAAGTCGTTAACCGAACCAAACATGTTCGGTTACGAGTTAAGATTATTACCGAGCAAATGATTCTCGAGCCTAGCTTAGGTTTGAGTATTGATCAAGTTATAAGGATTAATTAGACATTAATGTTTATTGAATTGAAATAAGTTATTTAAGATGAAGTTCAAATTCAAGTAACATTCCATTTTATTTAGCTAAATGGATGTAAATTTGGCCATTTCTAGTTTGAATGAGAAAGAAAAAGAATAATGAGTCGAGACAAGTTAAGTCTTGAGTTCGGTTAAGTATCCATGAACATTTGAGTTATAAATGTTCAAAGAAGTGAGAAAATTTATTTAGACATTTTAGTCTATTTAAATTATTAGAGAGAAATAAGATTTTTAGAATTTTCGTTTTTTTCGGTTTTCGATTGTAGCGGAATATATGTCCGATTTCAGTTCCGAGAAATAAATTAAATTATTTTCTCTCTATATTTTTAGTAGACTACAAGATAAGAAAATTTTTTCAGCATAAAAAGGAAAAATGCCAAAAGAAAAGAAGGAAATTCGAAAATTGTAAGAATTTTCGATTTTACGGTAACTGTTCGTTTTAAGTCAGAATTTGGTTCCGTAAATTGGAGAATTTTCACTAAATCTCGAATTTAATCATTATGATCAGATTAGGATCAGAAGAGGGGCCTTCCTAAGCATTGACTATGGGTTGGAGAAGTTTACAAGTTAAGAATATTATTTATTATCTATATTTATTTTTACAAGTTTATATTGTTTATTTTGTTAATTTCTTCACTCAATTATGATGTCTTGCAAATTGTGCCTATAAATAGAGGCCTAAAAATCAGATTTTATGCACCAAAGTTAAGTACCAAAAGTTATATAAGAGTGTAAGAGAGATAAAAACTTTGGAGAAGTGAAGAATTTGAAGTAAAGAATCAAGTTTTTATTCTAGCAAGAAGGAGGTAATTTACTTATCTTAAAGTTACATGCTTAAGTTCATGTTTTGATAATAAGTTTACATGTTTATAAGTATGTATATCATGATATAAAAGTTAAGTTTATAATTGATTCTATGAATATAAAGAGTTAAAGTTGTTCAAGATCAATTATATGATATATGTACTTGATTTGATGAGATGTTGATAAAGATATGAATAAGCTAGAAGAGTATGATTTAAATGAATGATTATTATGTAAAAGAGGAGTACAAGAAAACAAGAATTAAGAGATTTGGCAAAATATAGCTTGAGTTATGAATTTTTAAAGATGAACATGTAAGATGAAGTTTATGTTCACTATTGAATTTAAATTCTCATAACTTGATGAATATGCATGATAAAATTATGAAATTTTGAGGACATGTCTAATTATAAGTTGAGATTATGACTGTTAAGTTTCATAATTTAAAGATGAGAAATGAATAAGTTATGAATATAAGAAGGCATATATCTGAAGATAAGTATATATGCAAGAATATTCATGAAATGTTTAAGTTGTTAAAATGAGATGATCGTGAATAATTCTCATATAAGTCATGATTAATTTGATGAGTTTTGGTGTAATATGTTGAGTATACAATTTTATAAAGATTGTATTATGTATGATATATTAACATCATGATTAAATGTTATGAGTAAAAGATGATATCTTGAGATTATTTTCACTTTCAAGTTAATTAAGTGAAAATTTAATATAAGTCAATTTGGAGATATGATGAATGATGAATTAAGTATTTGATTGAGTAAAAGATCAAATTAAGTTAAGATAAGTTTATAAATCATGTTGATGATGTTGGTAAAAGTAAGCATATTTTAAGTTTAAATCAAATATAATGTGAAATATAGTTATTTTCACATTTGAGTTATGACATGCTAAGTATAATACCATATTTAATGTTTATGAAGACATGATTTATACAAGGTTAAATAATTGACCTTAAGTATAAATAAAAAGAGAAGTTAAGTATAAACTTGAGAAAAAACAAGTTTAATGAATTTTTATAAGATTTGGATAAGTTAAAAATCCTAAAAATCTTATTGAGTATATGAGCATAGTACTTAGTATATTTGTCTATATTTGATGTAACTTGCAGATACAGTACCAGTACAACACTTATCGTTTTTCAAATGATTTCAAAGACAAAAAGGTGGGGACCCTGAATGGGTATCACGTTGAGTACGATATTGATGTCATATGGGATCAGGAGACCATCAGTTGTCTCAGAGTATATCCTAAAGTTTAAGTTTATTACGCTTGGGATGAGGAGGCATTAATTTGTTCTCAGAGATTATATCCTAAGTTCTGATGGAGGCCGTTAGGTGCCTTAGAAATATCCATCAGAGTGTGCACACGTATCCGATTAACTATCGGCAAGATAAGAGAAAAGTTTAAGTTACCGATCAGATATCGGTTTATGATTATCCATATTCGTTACTCACCCCCATGAGTTTTAGTTTCAGGTAACAGGTCGAAGAGGAGGTGTGAGTGGAGCAGTGTTGGTGTGGATAGTGGACTCAGATGAAGACAAGCTTTGATACGGACATTTATAACATTCTGTATAATTAACCACGTTTTCAAGTATTTCCGCTATGCACATTAAGTATTGAACTTGCATTTTAATGAATTTCATATTTCAAGTTTTTACCATTATGAGAAATATGATTATGGTATTTTAAATGTAAGTTTAAAGGAAATCTGTTTTAAATTATGTATAAAGAAGTATTAGACAAAAGTTTAAAGATAAACGGATTTTCAAGATGATGAGTTTGAGTAGCATCCCGAGTTAGTCGCAAAAGATTTCGAAAGAATTAAGTATATTCGAAGTAAAAGTTGCGAAAAATTTACTCTGATAAGCGGGGTGTTACAGGTGGTATCAGAGCTAGAGTTTTAAATGCTCTGTATACTAAAAGGTTAAGTTCTGAAAGAGAAAGTTTTCATATAAATCAAAGTTTTTACAGGAAGTTTCAAGAAAACCCGACCACACCACGCTCACACCTCGTCAACTACCAGGTAAGTGCTGTTAAAAGTTTTATACAAGTTTTTCAATATATTCAAATTTACTAAGTCTATGCTCAATAAGAATTCATATATACGAACTCTAGAAATTTGTTTATATATTCAAGTATTAAAGTTTAAAATCTAGTTTATCAAGTTTGATATAGGATATTATATACTAGACCAGTCTTAAAGGACAAGAGAGGAATATATTGAAGAATATGCCTACACATGGCTAGGACACGTGGCACGATGCTATTGGACAAGCCCAACTTGGGCCATAAGGTACACTCCCCCTATAAAAGGGGGCTAAGGTATCCCATTCTGACTCTCTCTCTACATTCATTACTACACTTGAGACTTGGAGTGATTCTGACTTGAGCGCCGGAGGCCCGACGCCGGGACCCCTCCCGGCGTTGGGTTCTTGCAGGTACGGAGGCCGTCCGAGTCGAAGGGGCCCGAGTGAAATCTTACGCACTTCATTGGCGCCGTCTGTGGGACCCGTGAAAAAAGCCAAACGGAGTTCCGACCGAAAAATTCGAGAAATCTTCTAACAAGCTCCTTCTTCTCCACCGGCCGCCGCCACCGCCGGCCGCCACCCTCGTCGCCGGCCGCCGGAAAACGTGCTCTGGTCGGAAAATTCTTTACGTCATTGGATAGATCTCTTCGAGGTGGATCTCCCCTAAAAATTTCATGCGAAAATTCCTCCGGGAAGGCCGTCAATTTTGCGGTCAAAGTTTCCAGATCTAGCAAAAAATTAGTCAAAATCGGACATTCAAATGCATTTTCCCGGCGATCCGTGAAGGCTATGGAAAATCCGGGAGCACCACGTCTTCCGCCACCGCCGCCGCCGCCGCCGTCGGCCGCCGGTCAAAGTTGTCCGATCGGAAAAATTCTTATGTCAACGGGAAGCTCTTCTCGTATTTGTTCTACTCTTAAAATTTCAAGCAAAAATTTCATCGGAAAGGCCGTCGATTTGCCGGTCAAAGTTTCTAGATCTACAA